TTTCATTTCAATTTCAATACACCTCATACATACAAATATACAAGTGTAGACGCTTGAAAAGAACAATATTTCTTACTTATTTTCTAATTAAATAAATACTTCACCACTTGTATTGGCAATTCTTTTAAATAGTGGTACCAAAAAAAAAAAAAAAAAAGAAAAACACATAAGAAACACTACTAATACTATAGTACCATACATTTCCTGAGCTGTCTTTTTTTTTTTTCCCATCAGAAGATTCAAATATTGTTATTTTTAGTGGGAAAACACAACATATTTGGTAAATGGTAATATTATGAATCAAATAGTAAAGATAGCTACTCAAGATTACAGTACTGAGCACCACAACTGAAAAAAAGTAGACCCATTTATGAGTTTTATATTGGAGGATTCACTTTTATTAGTTTACATGACAATAGGTTAGGCTGTTGTAACAACTTAATTATTTTAGTACCACATTATGGTACCTAATCAGGTTACTAATTGTCATAAATAATATTTTTAATTAGTTGCTTAGGACCTATATTGTTATTTATCTTTATGATGGATGCTTAATTACTTAAAAAATAGGTGACAAGGCCAATTGTACGTACATATATATATATATATATATATATATATATATATATATAAACACGATAGGGTTTGTTTGAGTAGGCGCCTGGCATGGCGGTGGACAACAAAGTACGTAGTGAGTGAGAAGTGTCTAAAAGCAAGACTTGACTTTTGTTTGCTTGCCATTTGCCAAAATGCAGTGTCACCCCACGAGAGAGAGCATGGTAGGCTTCACTAACGTAGCATCATAATATACACACACACAATATATATATATATATATATGTGTATATGTATATGTATATAATCCATGTGATGTGTAAAAAATTGTACTCTCCTTTTTCTTGGGTACGTATAATCCTTGGCCCATGTTTCTTCCTTGCTTGACCAAAAGACAATGTACCCTTCTTCATTAGTCCGTTGCATATGCCTTTCTCTCTTGTTCTTTTCCTCCCCTTAACTTGTAAACTTTATTCTCCATTGTAAAAAATTGTACTCTCCTTTTTCTTTGGTACGTATAATCCTTGGCCCATGTTTCTTCCTTGCTTGACCAAAAGACAATGTACCCTTCTTCATTAGTCCGTTGCATATGCCTTTCTCTCTTGTTCTTTTCCTCCCCTTAACTTGTAAACTTTATTCTCCATCTATCTTCTTCTATTCACCTTTTTCCCCCTCAATAGGAGTTAATGATTCATTGATGAATATAATTAATAAATTAAGATATAGCTTAATTGTAAGCGTATTTGATAATACTATCTCAACTTTTTACGATTGATACCTTAAATATTTAATTTTACTAAATTACTTCAAAAAATTTAACCACTTGTGGAGTGTCTCCAAATCTATATGATGATTGATGAAATTTAGATTAAAGTGCCTTGTATGTGTTACATGAGTTGATGAATAATATTTTACACATACGTACATGAGAATATTTTCTTTCAAATTTTAATACAATTTATCATTTTTGTGACATTCTGCATTATTTTATTAAATTTACAAAATAATTTGACACGGTCCAGGGAGCAACTTATCACTTTAATCAAAGTTAACGAATAAAAGGGAACAACTTATCAATTTAATTTGACCTTATTCTTTTTTTCTCATAGAAAAAAAAAGGAATAAAAGGGTTTGCATCATTATTTACAAACAATTCGTTAAGAGTAATAGTTGCACTTGATTAATTCATGAATGTCATTTAAAAGCCACTAAATATTTGGTTTTTTATATGTGTTTGTGTGGATGTGGGATTGATTATTAATTGGAGATTGTAATTGATTCATCTATAATAAGGAAAGTCCTATAATATTGGTGGTACTATTCAAGCTAAAAAATTGTGTACAACTAATCAATTAAGATGTTTATCTTTTAAATACTTCATTGCAATTGAGCTAAAAAGAGCTTCAAAATATGGGGCAAAAAGAGCCTTCACTTCTTACATTTCGAACACCTAACCATGTGTAAGTGTTATTATGACTCCGCTTAACATCAAAAGCACTCTCGCCAAATAAATATTGTATTTAACTCCTTTAAAGAGGATAATGTCTTTAATGTTCATCCTACCACGCCCCAAAAGCAATGGCCATGCCCCAAAAGTGCATCCAAAAATGTAAGCAACTAAAATTTGATCATTAAAAAAGAGGTTCAATTAGGTCACCAAACCCCTTGTACTTGAGTCAATGAAAGTGGGCAAAGCCGGCCTTGTAAGTTTTACAATGTATTTTTTTTGAATTTTTTAGAACATAAAACGAAACGTGGTATTTAAACTGGATTTTTTTTTTTTAAAAAAAAAGAAAATTTCTTTCTTTTTTGTTTTTGAAACATGAAGACCAAAACCCATTTAATAGATTTTAGGATTAGTGGATAGCTACAAACAAATAACAAGATCTATACTCAATTGATTATCAATGGGAAAAGAGTCATTTTTATGGCACTAAGATAGAGAGGGACCACTAGGAAAAGGTTGGTGATAATTATGATTGAACATGGGTGGCGTTCTCAAGCTCTTGCGAGTTATTTTCTTGTTGGGTGCACATTGAAGGCAGACTATAAGAATTTAATTATTTATTGGAAAATACATATATATACATATAATGTAGGGTGAGCAAAATGACGCGTCTCACAAGTCATTCCAAGCACCTTTACGGCTTTATGATTGGTTTTGCATTGTATGGATTATTTCTTCTCTTTTTTCCTTCTTGTGAGGTCATAAAATGAAGACGTTTTAGACAAATTTCATATATATATATATATATATATATATATATGTATGTATGTTAGCATCCACGGAACTAATGCATATGAATCACCAATGTGGTACCATGAACTCTTATACATAGTATGTACAGTTAATCGATATTAAAGAGGATAGGAAAAGGTGAAACAACAACTTCCCAATAAATCAAACTAGTCAGCCTAATAATAAGAAGATGACTGGAGAAGTCCACCTTGGAGTTGTCTTTTAGGTAATTCTTTCCTCTGATCATAAATCCCAATCCACTTGGAGAAGTCCAACAGTTTGTATCAGTGTTATCCTTTTCTTTGCTCAAAGAGCCATCTAATTGGCTTGGGTCAATTGTGGTAGGGAGCACATTTGGATCCAATTCCTTATTTGCAGGAGCTGAAAAGAAAGAAGAAGAAGTAAGGTTAATATTTAGAACTTGTTTTTTCTTTTCTAAACTTTAATTTACTTTTTCTTTCGAGCATTGTGTAACACAGAGTTGAAAGACTATAAATGATATACGTTAATTTTTTTAACATATAAAGATACCAATTATACTTCTAAGTGTAGGATGTAGCAATTCACAATCCAATGATGAAGATCCCTGATTTTCACAGCCACTTTTTTTTTAATAAGAAATATTGAACTTCGTAATATCAAAGAACAGTACAAATACACAGACGGCAAGGATCCTAAAACAAAAACACTACAAAAATCAGAACCACAAAAAAGGCATAGACCCAAAAAAACATGTCTCAAAATAACCTATACTGCAATTCACTTCTATATTTCATACAATATGTGGGAAAATAGGAGAAGAAAAATATTTCTTATTTTCTGAATAATCTTACAGCTGGCCCTCTTAGGGTTTTATACACAAAAATAGAATCTCCTAGATTACACCTTATCCCATTATTCATGGGATATCAGGAAACTAACTGATTACCCTAATCCACTTGAGGTAAGTATTTCATGATACAAAAGTTCAGTTGATTTATTATTTTTACTATAAAATATGACTACTTCGTGGTGATAAAAGTTTTTAAAAAGCTAGATTTTTATCGGAGTATATTTATATCTTTTTTTTTAACAATAAGAACTTTTGACTTATTTACGAAACGTGTCTAAAAGCTCTTATAAAATAAAAAATTATTTTTCACGCACTATTAAATACTAATTAAAGAACTCCGACTTTTGTTTCTCTTTTTTTACCGCTTAAAAGTAAAAGCATAAACTCTCTCTCACCGCCCTCACACTTTCTCCCTACATTATGAGAAAATCAAACAATTTGTACTTCTTAACTCACCGCTTTAGTTTCGTATTATTCTACTCGAGGCTTATCATTTTTTTTTTTTTTTTTTTGAGAATAAGGTTTGTCATTTTTAAGCTAAAAAATAATTAGAGAAATTGAGAGCAAAATCTTATTATACTCAAGAAATGACATAAATCTCTATGCCCTATCATGAGCATTCATCTAAATTTCCACTAGATTTCCCACACTTCTGTTCACCAAATATAGTACATGTAGTTTTTCTTAGATGATCAACTTAGAAGGCCAAGGTTTTCTTAATTTGGGGAACAAGAAAAAACAATGGAGGCCAACAACAACAACAAGAGGGGGTTTTGGAGACGTGTTGTTGTTTGGTAGTGGTAGTAGTAAGCAAATGAACTAGTGGGAAAAGAAAAGAAAAGAAAAGAAAAGAAAAGAAAAGAAAAAAAAAACAAACATGAATGAGTCCACAAAAGCGTAAGGCCCTGAATGTCCCTGATGAACTCTGACCTGTACACATGCATTGATACGTCTCCTTTCACTCACAACACAACAAACACTTCTCTTCTCTTCTCCAAAACCCAAAAAAAAAAAAAAAAAAAAAAAAAACCAATCAATCAATATTATTTTCATGGCCTAATCCATAACCCCAATCTATTTATGTACCACCGCCATTTATCTTCACCTTTCTGATCAAAATAACCTTATTTTCTCTGCATTTCAATTTCCCACTAAAAAAAAGGACCAAATTTTCACTTCAAATTCACAATCTTCTCTTGTGCTTCCAACACAAAAAAAAAAAAAGGGCTCTTTTGGTTTTGTTTTATTTATTTATTTATTTTTATTTTTTTGACTTTCCAAAGATTCAGAAAGTCCCTCCCCTGATTCTCGCTATTTTAAAACCTTTTTTTTTTAAGCACAATTATACATTATTATTGTTTAGTATTTATTTATTTATTTATTTTGCCTTTTCTTCTGTAACGGTTCTGAACCAACGAACCGCAGATCAAGAAGAACAACGTCGTTTTCCCATTTTCATTTGTGAAAGCTTCGAATTCTTGGAATTTAAACTGTTCTTTTATTTTTTTTTAATTTTAGTTGTTGGAAGATAAGGTTTTGTTGGGTATTATTATCGTATATAAATCTGACGAACTCTCTCATTTTTTGCCGAACATTTTCACAACCGTCACTGTCTTGTTAGTTTCCCGTGAAAACATTCTTTCGCGGCGAGTCGGGAAAGAGAAAATCACTCGAAATCGAGGTTTTCGAAGCGAAATTTGAAGCCTGAAACTCATGAATTCCGAGGAAATTATCGCATCTAGATTCGGCCAAGTGTTTTCTTCTTCTTCTTCTTCTTCTCAGTGATGGGTTGTGTGTACTCGAGGGTTTGTATCGGTGAAGTCTGTACGCCGAGAGAGGCGAGAATCAAGGAGAATCAGAATGTGAGAACAAACGAGATCGCCGTCTTCTCGCCGGGAACTTCCGACGGCGACGGCGACGGCGAAGACAGGGACCAATTGAACCAGCTGAGCCTGACCAGAGACGCCGAGACCGGTATCACAAGGCTTTCTAGGGTTTCGGCGCAGTTTCTGCCTCCGGACGGTTCCAGAACCGTCAAAGTCTCTTCCCAAAACTACGAATTGCGGTACTCTTACTTGTCTCAGAGAGGATATTACCCCGACGCTCTCGACAAAGCCAATCAAGACAGTTTCTGTATCCACACGCCGTTCGGGAGCAATCCGGATGATCATTTCTTCGGGGTTTTCGACGGCCATGGAGAATTTGGGGCTCAGTGTTCGCAGTTTGTGAAGAGGAAATTGTGCGAGAATTTGCTCAGAGACAGTAGGTTCCAGTATGACGCTGTTGAGGCTTGCCATTCCGCTTTTCTGACGACGAATTCTCAGCTGCACGCCGATGCTTTGGACGACAGTATGAGCGGGACCACCGCCATCACCGTTTTGGTCCGCGGACGGACGATTTACGTCGCGAATTCGGGCGATTCGAGGGCGGTGATCGCGGAGAAGAGAGGGGATGAGATTGTGGCCGTCGACCTCTCGATTGACCAGACACCATTTAGGGAAGACGAGCTCGAAAGGGTCAAGCTTTGTGGCGCCAGAGTTCTCACGTTGGATCAGATTGAAGGGCTGAAGAACCCGGATGTGCAGTGTTGGGGTACTGAGGAAGGGGATGATGGTGACCCTCCTAGATTGTGGGTCCCAAATGGGATGTACCCTGGTACGGCTTTCACTAGGAGTATTGGTGATTCCATTGCTGAGACTATTGGAGTTGTTGCCACGCCTGAAATTGTTGTCTTGGAGCTCACACCAGACAACCCTTTCTTTGTTATTGCAAGTGACGGGGTGTTTGAGTTTCTCTCTAGTCAAACCGTGGTTGACATGGTAAGGTACCCTGTTTTTCACTTTCTTGCAATTTTGGGTTTAATAGAGTTTTCATGAGGACTGTGTAATGATAAATGGCATGGTGATAATAAATGGTTTCAGCTTTTTAGCTATTATGATTAGTATTTCACACGCATCTTCATATTCCCATTTCATGAATTTAGTAATAATAATTGTTATTATTATTCCTTTTTTGAAAAATTGTGCTTGTTTGGTTTGAACCAACCTCCCTGATTTTAGTTCAATCAGTATTTTCTCTCACAAAAAATTTAAATTTAAAAAGTTCTGCTATAATATTTTCTCTTACAAAATTTAAATTCTGGTTTAAACCACTTGGTTTGAAACCTCAAACCAAATTAGCACTAAATGTAGGCTTCTTATATTTTCCTGCATTTTTATAGCATATTTCTTCATTGTGCTTGTGTATTTCCAGGTTGCAAAACATAAAGATCCTCGTGATGCTTGTGCTGCTATTGTGGCAGAATCTTATCGACTTTGGCTACAGTATGAAACTCGTACAGATGATATTACCATAATTGTTGTGCATATTAGTGGACTAACTGAAGTAAGGGCTTTCTCTATTTGTGATGTTATTTATTTATTTATTTGGTTTCTATTTTACCCTTCTCGTGAGTGGTGAAAAACTAACTAATGGCTTTCTCTTACAGGCTGCTTCTGGTCAGTCAGCAAGTTTTGATACTTCCCTAAGACCACCTGTTCCTCAAGTTGTAGAGGTAACAGGATCAGAATCTCCTTCAACCTTTAGTTGGATTTCTAAGAACCAACGTGTAAGACATGATTTATCAAGGGCGCGTATTCGTGCTATCGAAAGTTCTCTAGAGAATGGACAAGTTTGGGTTCCTCCGTCTCCAGCACATAGGAAAACTTGGGAAGAAGAGGTAAACTTCAATTCTTATGATATCTTCATATTTGGCTTTAATCTGAAAGAAAGTTAAAGTGCTACATATGCGATCTTCTTGTGACTTTTTAAACATATTGGTACTAACAAACGTGATTCTACAGGCACACATCGAGCGGGCATTGCACGATCACTTTCTCTTCAGAAAACTTACTGACTCTCAGTGTCATGTTTTGTTGGACTGTATGCAAAGAGTTGAAGTCCAGCCTGGGGATATCGTAGTTAAGCAGGTTACAGTTAGTTTTTTTTTTTTTTCTTCTTTTATACTTTATTAGTGAATGGAGGTATTCTACTGTTATGCATCAGTTGAAAAATATTAATATCTTGATAAATTATGATTTTGTTTAATAAATAATAAACTAGCATTGTGAATGCTATGCAATATATACTGTTGAAATTTGATTTACAGCAACCCCCAGTTAGAGAATTCCAATTCCAAAGTTTTTTATACTGTTGAAAGTTTTATGCTATGTGATGCACCCGTGGATTTGTTTCCCCTCCGTTATAATGCAAAAGTGTTTCCTATTGACTATTGAGGTTTCGCTCCCAATGACGACCTGTAGCAAAAACTCATGGATTCCACATCTAAGATTTGAGGAGTTAATGCTTATTGGATGCAATTCTATAAGTTGTAACAACTACTGTATTTTGCAGGGTGGTGAAGGTGACTGTTTTTATGTTGTTGGAAGTGGAGATTTTGAGGTCTTTGCAACCCAGGTTGTCATTTTCTGTTGCTAGCGTTTCATCTGGGTGAAAAGGTTTTGAGTTCAGGCATTCTTTTGTTGACCGAATATGATTTTTACAGGAAGAAAACAATGGCGAAGTTCCCAAGGTTCTTCAGCGTTATACGGCTGAAAAGCTATCATCTTTTGGAGAATTGGCACTAATGTAAGTTTTTTCTTTCCATTCTTTGATCCAGTTAGGGTCCTTCAATATGCTGTTCCGGTGCCCACTGACAAATTATTTGTCCATACAAAATTTGATGGGTGATTAAGTAACCTACATTTTAGACCATAGGAGGTTATCGTTTCATACGTTCTTTAACTCTTCGTAGGAAAAACAAGAAACATACTGATAATTGTCAAAACCATTCGACTTTCTGTCTGCTGTATATGTTTTTCTCGTTCTATTGTGGTAGTGAAAAATATGAGGTGCTACAGGTATAACAAACCACTTCAGGCCTCTGTTCGTGCTGTAACAAGTGGAACTCTATGGGCTTTAAGAAGAGAAGACTTCCGTGGAATTCTCATGTCAGAGTTTTCTAATTTGTCATCCTTGAAGTTGCTCCGATCGGTAGATCTTCTATCAAGGTTGACAATCTTACAGTTGAGTCACATTGCAGAATCTCTATCTGAGGTTTCCTTCTCAGATGGGCAGACAATTGTGAAAAAGGTAAACAACTTCTCTAAAGAATTTACTTCTTTCACTCATATGCTTTATCTTATGTATCTTTAGCATGTATCTGCAGAATGAAGCCCTCTTCGCGTTGTACATTATTCAAAAGGGACGGGTGAGGATTACATATAATGCAGATTTAGTTGGTCCAAATGTTACCAGTCTCAAGTCTGAAAATCAAAAAGAAGGTGATAATCCTCCAGGCAGTAACGAGCTGTCAGTGGAGAAGACAGAGGGAAGCTATTTCGGTGAATGGACACTTCTTGGTGAACATATTGGTTCCATAAGTGCAGTTGCTGTAGGTGACGTCATTTGTGCTTTTTTAACGAAGGAAAAGTTTGAGTCGGTTGTTGGCCCTTTGCAAAAGCTTTCTCAGGATGATCAGAAGTATGTTGTGATTTCATAGGGGAATATCCCAATTTATATTTTACATCGAAGCTTCCATTATAAATTCCCTAGTAAATTTAAGAGCTGTTTAACATTTTATTTGTTGAATTCATTTTAGGTCAAGACCCCATTCTTCAGATTTCTCCAAAGAATCTGCTAAAAATATTGATATTTCAACTCTTTCTGAAGTTCAGCTCTCTGATATGGTAGGGAGTACTTTTCCCTGCTAATTATTATGTTTCCTGATAGGATGACGTATATTTGGAATCGATTTAATTTGAATTAAAAAATTTCTCTCTTTGTCCAGGAATGGAAGAAATGTTTATGTTCTACCGATTGCAGTGAAATTGGGCTTGTACTTTTAAGAGAATCAGGTTGGTTATTTTCCGTTTTTAGTCATTTGATTACGACTTTTCTTTGTGATGATACTAGTTTCAAAAGTGCTTGCTTTGAGTGAAAAAGAAGGCTTTGAATATTAAATCAGGTGACATTTATGAAGTATCAATTAATCAACATAAAGAAAACAGGAAAGGCAGTAGTTGATGCTCTAGTGACTAAAAGCTCATGTTCTTTCCTCCTCTCTCTTTTGGTTGCAAAAGAAAAAAATGATTTATATTTTTTTAATGGGTTTGTACATATGCTGATGAAATGCTTCTTTACGTTTTATGATTGGCTATCAGAAAATTTGCTTAGTTTGAAAAGGTTTTCAAGGCAGAAGATCAAAAAGTTGGGAAAGGAGGCACAGGTCTTGAAAGAAAAGAATTTAATGAAAAGTATTAGCCATTCAGCCCATGTGCCACAGATCCTGTCTACTAGTGTCGATCGGTCACATGCCGGCATACTGCTTGAAACATGCCTTGCTTGTCCTTTGGCCTCTATTCTTCACACCCCACTGGATGAACTGTCTGCACGATTTTGTGCAGCCTGTGTTGTTAATGCCTTGGAACATCTACACAAGGTTTGAAGTTTTGAAGTAGCTGCTTTTGATATTTTTTGAAGATATGTTTCTAAGCCGCTTTGGTTTTCTAACATTCTTCCGCCTTTTAATTGGAATTTCAGAATGATGTTCTGTACAGAGGCGTGTCTCATGATGTTCTGATGTTGAACCAAACAGGATATTTACAGGTTAATGGTGTTTCATTGTTTTGCTGACTAGATGAAGTGAAAGGTTCATCCACTTTTGGTTGCTTATCGTAACATCCCTTTGTCCTATTGTAGGTGGTGGACTTTAGATTTGGGAAAAAATTATCTGGTGAGAGGACATATACAATTAGTGGAATGGCAGACTTCTTAGCACCGGAAATAGTCCAGGGAAAAGGCCACAGCTTCACAGCTGACTGGTAAAGATTCTCAAGGATACTGTAATTAACTGTTTTTAATTACTGGAAATAACGTAAAAATGTAGTTACCAAATCATAGTTTTGTCACAATATGGTTCTATTTGGTTAAGACAAAAATATGTAATTCGTGGTATCTTTTCCCGTCTTTTGTACCTTTACAGGTGGGCACTGGGGGTCTTGATCTATTTCATGCTGAAAGGTGAAATGCCATTTGGTTCATGGAGACAAAGTGAACTCGATACATTTGCCAAGATAGCTAAGGGGCAGCTAAATCTTCCACAAAATTTCAGCCCTGAAGCTGCAGATCTCATCACCAAGGTAACACTGAAAATTTCTTCTATACGTTAAAAACTTGATCAAACGATCATAGTTCACCACGTGAATTTTTTGTATTTCTTACAAGCTTTGAAGCTTACTCTTGTTTCTGTATTATTTTTTAGTTGCTTGATGTTGACGAGCAAACCAGACTGGGAAACATGGGTCCTGATTCCATCAAAACTCACCCTTGGTTTGATGGTATTGATTGGAAAGGCATAGAGAACCATAGTTTTCCCGTTCCTAATGAGATAATGTCTCGCATTGCTCAACACTTGGAGATGTACTCCGAGGATATTACTTTTCCTCGCCTCTCTCTCTCCCAAGACGTTGAAGATGGCGATGTTCCTGAATGGCTAGATGACTGGTAGAAGAACGACAGAAAAGGGAGGGATTTTGACTTCAATACTCTCCTACCGTGGAGTTCTCTTCTCTGCTACCGGAACAACTTGCAGCTTGTTCAAAACCATGAGAACCGATGACGGAAAATCATGGGAAAGATGCAGAGAAGTTGCAGGGTCTGATTCTTGCCTGTGGTCCACACAAATTACATTTCATATTCATTACCCTATAACGTTAGGAGAATGTCTCTTATGGGTTCCCTTGCTGCCGCTAATCAATTAGTGATTTAACTAGCTGAATGCTTCAATAAAGAGGTCAGCTTATAGATTTGATTTATGTATTTTTATTATGTGATATTATTCTTTCTGTTCTGTAAATACAAAACGGATATATATATATATATATATATATATGTAAATGCATGAGTTGTTCTTTTAAGATGAAACTCTCTCTCCCACGCAACTTGTGTAAAGGCAGATGATATTAATTTGATTAGTTCAGTTTTCAGCTTCAGCCCAAGTGGCTTCTCAAGTGTTTCCTCTTTGACCGTTTGATGTAGTTTTCTTGTACTCCTTATTGTTGTGGAAATAATGGATATGTTTATTTCGTTTGAGCAATTGATTTATGAAAATTTCAATGATTGGGGTTCATTTTATGGGGTGCAACAATCTTTATTTATGAAAGTTTTTCTTCTAGTTATAACAAAAAATGTACGTCCTTGTTATTTTTACAATTCAAGTTCTGTAATACTCACAAAAATTTAAATATAACTTTTTTATTATAATATTTTTTTCTCATATATACACTCAAATTAACAAATATATCCGTAGTTTCTGCCCATTTTGAAACTAGTGGTTAGAGCAGACGTGAAAAATAAAAATGACCCGTAAAGGTAGAAGAGCACGAGAAGAAAGAGTTAGAAGGGGCTGGATAATCAAGGATAAAAACCGGCCAAATGTCGGAATTTTTTTTAACATTTTCCTGTATTACCAATTACCAAATCTATATAACCAAGAGGAAAATCACAATATTCGCGAATATAATAATGACAATGACAATGATTCCAATTACATCAATACACAAAATAGATGATAGCAATACAGTACTAAGTACTAACCAATTATCTTAAATCGTGACTCGAGGATCAACCCCCTTATCATTTTAGAAGCATATCTTTATAACATTTTTAAAATGCAACTGGAGATAATAATAAGTTTAGCTATATATGTATTTTTTTAAAGAAATATTCACAAGACAAATTATAAAGCCAAGAAAGGGGGACAATGAAATAAAAACAAATGCAAGAGATGATTCGTACACTTGTTATAATGAAGACAAAGAAAGCAGAATCAGCCCTTACGTCAATACACAAATCTTGCGCCAGGAATAGAGAAAAGAATCATAGAAAATGCCTTTTCGTGTTCACGAAACACACATATCACGCCTAACATTATAAAATTTGCAGTGTGATGGGGTAAGGGTAGACACTAGAGATGAGGGTGGTCATTCGAGTTACGATACGATAACGCTGCTCGATATCTAATTAGATATGGATTATCATAGATAGATTTGGAATTCTAATCAAGTTATCACGATTAAGTATGTGTCATTTACAATTAAATATGCATGTTATAATATAAAAGTTTGCACGATAAATGAAATAGAAATAATACAAACTTTGAAGTTATTAAATTTCATTTATTTTTCTTACAAAAAGAAAAACTTAACAATACACATGTTAAACATGTTATAATTATATCAAATGATTCATAATTGTGTTAGTTATTTAATATGCTAATTTAGTCGTGTCAACCCGTGTAATAAACGTATTGTGTTTGGGTTGACTTTTTTTTTAAATGTTTAACGATATTTTATTATTCATATTTCATGTCACTACTAATAAATGAATTGACACGAACAAGACTATTAACACGAATTACCACTCTTAGCCATGATTAATAATTGATACTCTAAGGTTTTATTAAAAATAATAATAAATAAGATTGTTGATACTCAAGGACAAGAAATGGCAATTTTCAGGATTAATTAATTTATCATGTTTTGGTCTTAGTTATTTCATAAGTTGCACTGCAAAATGACAAACAATGATGGGCAATTAGGCATGCAAAGGGTTTGGTTTAGCCTTTATGGTCATTAAGTTCTTTCTTTTTCTTAAAAATATTTTAGATAATCTTTTGTTATGGATTGATATTTTATTTGTACTAAACACTAAGCAATTGTCCTTGAGCAAAAGAAAAAGAAAGTCGACAATTGTCAATCGGGTAGGATTCACTCTATTATTATGTGTCTCTTTCATATTTGAAAAAAAAAACTATAATAATATGCCTAACTATATATATATATATTATTGAGGCAACTAACGTTAAAATTTTAGAAACCAGGAATGCAGTAAATTTTGAAAGTTCATGATTTTTCTTTTTCTAAAACATCGTTTTCGAAAAAGATTAATTTTCTTATGTGTATTAATTTATTAATTATTTTTATTTCATATGTTAGATATTATTTTGTGGACAAAAAGCTACTTTAGAAAGTCTAAGATGCTACTTTAGAAAGTCTAAGAGGACGGTTTTTAAAAAGTAAAACATGTTTGAATCATGGAACCAGAGTGGCTCATGCTTGTTCCATGCATTGCTTTCTCTTCCTTAATTATTTATATTATTTTGTTTGTTAGAATTTAGAACTCTAATATTCAAGGATCTTATTTCTTTTTTCTTTTTTTTTTTAAGAGATTACCATATTCCTACTGATATGCAAAAGCGTATAAAAAGATAGCATTAGACTATTCAACAAGAAGCTGGTTTGAGTTCAACATTTTTATTTTATTATTACCTATCTTCACTTGTAACACTTTAGCCAAAGGAACAAAAGGAAAAAAAAATACCAACACCCGTATGAAGGACATAATTAATACAATAATTACTATAACAATTCAGCAAAGCCTGGTTTAGCATAGTACAATTTCTTAATCACCATAACAAATTATGACCAAAAAAAAAAAAAGGAAAGGAAAAAAGTGAAAGCACATATATGATTTAATACCAACACCCGTATGAAGGACATAATTAATACAATAATTACTATAACAATTCAGCAAAGCCTGCTTTAGCATAGTTCAATTTCTTAATCACCATAACAAATTATGACCAAAAAAAAAAAAGGAAAGGAAAAAAGTGAAAGCACATATATGATTTAGCTGAAAAATGAAAGCTGTATCTGTATCTCTTGAACTTGTATACTTTTTTTTTTCCCTTTTCTTTTTGTTTATTTTTTTTTTCAAATGAACAACTTGAACTTGTATAATTGAAAAGCAGTATCTAAAACTCTACAAGAAGCATTTAATTCCATAAGAATATTTCTAATTTATGTAGCCAAAAAAAGAAGAAAGAAAAAAGAAAAAGATTCAAACCATGTCAAGAATGGTGCAGAAGAAAATACTTGGAAGTTTGAAGAATCAGCAATGCTTTACCATCAAACATCTAAGGTCTGTCTTGGTGGATTCTGTGACAATTGAGACCTTTTCTCTCTGTTGGCAAACCATTGAACTGTTCTTCTCGCAATAGGCAACCAAGCTCTTCTCATTCTTTCCTCTTTCACATTGTTTTCAAACAAAGAAGATGACTCTCCAATCCTGTTCTTCCCACCCAAATCTCCATACCTTGAAAAGGCAGTGATTTCCGAGACCGATCTCTGTTCACCGGAGTTCATCACCGATCTTGATGTGTGACTCGAAGTACTTGCCTCGTCCTCAAAAGCAGAACTAGGAACCGGGTTTGAAACCGAAGTACTAATTGTTCCAACCTTGCTCTCAAACGATTTTTTCATCTCCATTTCTTCCTTGGTCTTCATCATCTCCCCATTTTCCACTGCTTTTCGGGTGGATGTTGGATCGTTGTTCCAATCTGTGGAAGCGAATCTACCGCTTGACTTGTCGTTGAGCATTTCGGAGCTTAAGAATATGAGGTCAGAAGAACTCACATTGCTCCACCTGTTCTTGAACACAAAATCTGATACAAGTATCTTATGGTTGTGCTTATGGAAGACTTTCTGATCTGCCTCAGTTTCTTGTTGAATCAACAATTCCTCTTCTTTATGATGACCCTTTTCATGAATCTTCCTAAAGCTGCTTCCTATGCTGAATCTTGAAGATCCTCTATGGCTTTCTTCCCTTTGAACAAATAACTCCATGTTGTTTGAGTCTTCTCTCATCTCTGATTGGTTGTTCCATAAGAATCTTGCACTATCTGAGTAGGTGATTAGTTTTAAATCCTCAGAACTAACTCTGTGCCTGCAAAGAGGACAGCTAGAGTGCTTCTCAAGCCAATGATCAATGCAGTTAATGTGAAAGGCATGATTGCATTTTGGCAGTAACCGAAGAACTTCGATGTCTTCGAATTTCGACAAACAGACTGCACATTCCAGCCCTTCCTTTGAGCCCTTTAGAGATGAGAATCTAAAGAAAGGAAGTGACTCAATAACTGTCTTATCTATGCCTGAAAATCTACGGCTTGCGCTGATGATCCCAGTCTGTTGAGGATTTCGATTGGCAGAGACTCTTCTGTGGCAGAATTTCGCATATGCAAGAAGAAGAAAAGTTAGCACAAACATAACACTTAGAACTCCTAAAACAATAGCAAGGCTTGGTTTAAGACTCTCATAATCTGATCCCATGGGATAATCCGGGCCATATGCGTCTGCTTCGACATGAAGCGCCACAAAAACGAGATGTAAAACGATCGCGCTTAATCGGTTCATGGCAAGATTGAGAGGTTGAAACTTGACAAGAACTCTAAGCATCTTTGGCAAACATCTGGAAGCACAAGAAGACTTTTGTGAGTATCTTTTGCTTGAGAACTCTACATTTTACATTTCCCGGGAGAGTAGTTTTATGGTGTTGTTCTTATGTGCCCTTTTAATATGTATGCATAAAAGGGTACCCATTTGGCTTGTCAGTTTCCTTCAATTTTTTAAGGCTTTCTTGGTTATCTTAATTGGGCAAATCAATTTTTAAACCAAGTAGTGATGACAAGGTGGAGGAACTTTGGCTTTTGGTGGGCACTTCTTGGGCAATAATACAACCTTGTTGTATTAAAATAGATAAAAGAGATTTGGCATATTCATGGGTATTATAAAATTTTTTCTTGGCCATTTATCATGTTATTTTAAAAGTTAAATTGTCCATAACACTTTGCATACATAACTAGTCAATGAATGAACCTTAGTTTAAAGAATTTGACATTTCCAAGATTAGCCTATATATCTAGTTACATTGCTATAATTTTGTGGCGTTTAAATTTAGGTTGAGGTTATGAGAGTTTTCAGCAATGACAATAAAGTCAATGTCATAAGCTGAAATGAGCATTTTTTCACTCCCTGAAAAGTCAATATAATTTTATCTAGTCTGATTATGCCTAAGGGTGTTCTCACCTCATAGGCCATAATTAAAGTCACGCATCCCAAAAAAAAAAAAAAAAAAAACCAATGTTTACAACACTTCTTATTTGGATAACCTTTTCTTTTTCTTTAAAAAAAAAAAAAAAAAAAAAAAAGAGTTCATAACATCCTTTGGCACAAAAAGAAAAAGTAAATTGTCTCTTCCTGACTCTAAAAAGAACATTTATATTTATCACTAAATATTGTAACCTTATCTTATATAAATATTGTAGGAATTTATGTGATCTGCTACTTTATAACATGCAATTGAATTAAAAAAAAGGTTATAGTTCATGACACCATTTATAGTTTTTTTTTTTTTCTTTTTCATGATTCAAAACGAAAAAAAGGTGAAACACATAATAAATGCATCATATATATAATTGGAATGAGGACATCATAATAGGCAACCAAAAGAAGTGAAGGTATATTGGATGAGAGAAAAGACAAAAAACCGAATATTTGTTAATATTGAGCCGGTGGAATTAGGGGATCAAATTGGGTGTTTATTTATGAGAAAAGATATGGCGAAAATGATGATTATATTATATTATTGGCTAAATAGATGATATCGTTAAACACACACAAAGTTTGGTTCATTCCCCATTTGGGAAAACAAGCTGTGAGGAACAGCTACATGGACAAGAAATCCGGCAACATATCCAATGAATTGCACATGGAGAGATTATGTTGTTACTTAATTCTTAGCAAATAAATAAATAAATAAAATTAATTCTTACTTAATTTGCATTAAAAGAATTGTCTTATTTAATAGTCAATCTATAAAAAAATAAAAAATAAAAAAGTGGTCAGTCTAGTGCACAGTGGCATAAGCATGGAAGGTGTTACAAGCCGCCAATGAGAAAAAAACACGTGGAGTGAGCCGAAGGCATCACTAATCACTATTATTTTAATTTGCTAATCACTTTTATTGGCAGATTAGCAAAATAATAAGGATTATGATAATATAATCACTGGTATTAGCCAAGGGTACTAGCAAAGTTTGACGTTTTGTGCATGGAAAGTATCTTATCAGTTTCTAGGAAAAAAAGTATCTTATCAGTTATGGTTAATATCTTCCACGATCAAGAAGTAATATAAATAGGAGGAATTAATTATTCAACTAGGTGTTGTTTTCATACAATAGGGAATTATTCAAAAGTACTGTTTTGATTCTCGTTACTATTTTCACTTTTAAGTACAATGAATCTATCCAAATTTTTTAGGCGATTTATGGAAATGGCTGAATCTTGGGGAGGTAATAAAAAAAGGATCCAAATTTTTTCTAGTAAATTTTCATGAGCTGAAATTAATTGCTAAATCTCATAATTATTGACTAAAATAATTGGATAAATTACTTTAATGCACTCTAAACTTACTGTCATTTGTATGTTGCACCCCAAACTTTTTAGTTGATATTTAGAACCCAAATTTTACAATCTTCGTTAATGTAGTTCAATCAATAACGGAAATTTTAGGGTCTGAAACGAAGATATTAAAAAGTAGAGTGTCCAACTTGCCAACTAATAAAAAACTTGGGGTGCATTTGTGTAAAAATCTTGGGCAGCTTCCGTCCATTAGTTGACGTCTATTAGCTTCTGGACCACATGAATTGTAATAAATTTTAAAATTTATTCTATTTGTCAAAATTAAAAGTTTGAGATCCTAATTTGCCAAGCTGTTAATTAATCGTACAAAACCTGCCTTAAATAACAAAGCACAATTCTTGATTACCAAACGTGTTAGAAAGTTGAAACGTATTTATATGTAATGATTGAGCTGAAAAATCAAAGCTGAAGTATACTTGAACAACAATATGGTAAACTCTATACAAACTTTAATTACATAACTATCAATTATAAATATTTTTTCTATAAAAAAAAAAA